TCTTTAGTATACAAACCATACTTGTAACTAAGCTTCTTTCTTGATGTATAGTGTCAGCTGGAATCCCTCCAGTTTACCAAGGAGACTAATACTACAATAAAAAAAACTTGTGGTTAATTTATCCTTGCAAAAAAAAGGCTTATAGGGTAGATATTCATCTGCAAGGTCTTTGTCAAGTTAAAAACACATTTTCAAAAAGCAGTTACCAAAAGGTGACCTAGACCGAGTAATAACATAATAACAACATCCAGAGTATCTGCAAGGTATTAGAGTTGACATATGCTTGGCAAGCACTCAACCAGCTCTGAAAATCTGAATGTTTGAGATAACATCCTCATGCAAACTGGAAATAAAACATATAGATTTCAGAATGGCTTTTTTGTATTGAATCGGGTGAAGTGCTGAGTGAGAGGTTGCTGTGTGCCTTATTTAAGATTTCATGCTCAGGTATGGTATTTTCTAAAAGATTTTGAGGTAGATTTTGATGATAAACATGAGGCAAGACTAAGCCTCCCATGTTTCCTAACCTAATTACAACTTGATCTTAAGAGTTTTTATTTTCTTTTAACTGAAAAAAATGTGCTGTTTAAGTGTTCTAAGCTAGAAAACTGCAACTGTTGCTGAATAATTTTGGCATGAAGTTAGATACAGCAAAAAGCAATTTCCAATGATTCTTCATCTGCTTATTACTTTTTAATGAATATTCTGGTTTATGTAATCTTGGCGTACTTTTATCTAAATGTTTTGGAAAAAACATCCCCCACTTATAGGTACTGATATCTACATGCTTTTAGTGGTTCATGGTATATATAAAGAAATTAATACATTTGATAAAACTATAGAATAATAGAAGAAAACCAGAATTTTACAATTTTTTTTTCCTAGTTTCTAAAACCCTATAGGTAGGTTTTTACTTTTGTCTGGACTTAGCCCTCATAGTATTCAGATGTTTCCCATATCTCATATTAAAAATTCAGTTTAAAATACTTCAAAATTATATATCTCATTCTTGACAAAATACTGATAAGAGAATTTGTACAGGTGATGAACATTGAATTCTTGACAAAAAACAAAAAAATTGTGGAGGAGGAGACTTGAACTGTACAAATTGCAGTATATCTAGCAAAGGGGAAGCAATAAGCAAAAAACTTTACTAAGGCAGGTTTTAACTACAAATAAGGATGTGGTGCTGTTGCCTAAAAGAAAACTCAGAGAGAAAAAAACTCCAGGGCAACTTAATTTTGAAGGTCAGGTGAGGGAAGGTTTTAATGGTGCCTCTCAGGCACTGGGGTTACAAGTTACACATGCTGCTCCCTGATCCAGTGTCACAATTTTTATAACAATGTCCATCCAATCCCTGAGTTGTCCACCCTCTAGCCTTTGCCCTATTCCACCCCCCAATCCACCCCTCGGAAATTGAGTCTGGGGTTGTATTGGGACCACTCCTTCATCATCTTCCTCTTCTTCAGAGCACACAGTGCACTCAGAGCACACAGTCCTTGGTTATATCTTGCGGACCAGGCTAGGGAGCAGATAGATGTTCTTAAACAGTAGAAGGCCTACCTTGAAAGAAGACTAAATATGTAAAATTGAATTTAAGGGGGGATTGATATGGGGAACATGGAATGGGGTAAGACGGTTGGGGATCTGTGTAGCTACTGTGCTAAAGAGTGAGGGAATGAATGCAGCTGCTTCTAAAATCTACATTTGCTATATAACTATTTCTAAAACTTATAAAAATTTAAAAAAATCAAAAAATCAGAAAACCCTAAGGCAACAGTACAGTGAGTTAGACCTAAAGGAAAGAAATAAATTGGTGTTTGACAGAGTTTTTTTGAAAGGACAGTAAATGCGGTTACAGTGATGATCAAGAAAGAGGATAAAATGGCAAGCAGAAAGTATGACTATGTGGGAGTATCTGTCTTCTACCCCATTTTCAACCTCTGCAGCTTGGCCCAAGACAGTAAACCTGTTGCATGCCTTCAAGCCTGTCTGAATTATCCCCATAATTAGGCAATACTGGTGTGAACTCCATAAAAATATTCCCGCTAGAGAAAACACCTTCATAAATGTGAAATTTAGACAATGAGATTTTGTAATGAAGTGACATTCCTGTTTATGAAAAATGTCAACAGTCCTCTTTGTAAGATATTAACAACAATAAGGATTTATGTGAATCGTTCACTTCTTCAATAAATTGAATAATGTCTCTCAGTAAACTAGTACGTTGCATTTCATGGTTAGATTTTCTTGATGTTGAAGGTGTGTCGCTGTGGAACATTCCTTTCTCCAAACACAAGTAGGAAGACTCTTACACTCCTACCTGGAAGAAGATTTTCAATGAAATGGAAGAAAATGTAGTCTATAATTAGGATATGTAAAATATTGGTTTCAACTGGAAAATGAATTCAGGCATTATAGTCAGTGACAGAAAGAGACACATTCTGTGATAGTTAAAGTCCCATTTTCTTAGAATACCAGATAAAACACATGAAAGACAGATAAAATTAGTACTATACTGTAAGACCACTGAATGGATCTTAAAATGTATGTTGTGTATGGTGGAGTATGGAAGGGGGAGGTATGCGTGTGAATAAAGGTCAATCCTGCCTAAGGCAAGCACTCTGTTCACAGTAAAGTTCTGCTAACACACTTTTCCTTTTTTATTATTCTGTGGAGGTTAAGTTTAAAAGTGGGACAGATAGTTACCCTTTTGGATACTATAAATCTTCCAGAAGAAACCCCCAGAAGTGTTTGTGTGCCTTGCACATGTCTACACTGAAAACAGAACTAGCTGTAAATGAATTGTTCCAGGAACACAAAGCAAATTAGCTGTTTCATGAGAGAGTAATTGCAACAGAGCTCAGTGCAGCTTAATGCCCTCTTCTGAGAACGAGAATTGATACACAGTGTGATGGATGGTAAAGCTATTAAACTTGTTTATTCCAGTTCTTCTAATGGGTTCACCCCAACAAGGGTGAAGCTAGGTAATAGGGGGTCACCTTGAGTGATACACATCAGATTAGGAGCATCCCTGGAAAGAGAAAAAAGTACTAGACCTTCAGTGATATGTTTAAAGAAGCTTTTAAATGACATGGTGAGGAAACATTCAGTGGCATAGAAAGGAGATGCCTATAGCAGGAGCCGAGAGTGGCAGATGAATGGATGTAGTCAACTTGCAACACTCACAGCCAGGTCCTGCAGGAATTCAGGGAGAGTTTTGAAGGATTTGTCAACCCAAGAAGTCACTGGGAGCTGTCTGACTGAAGAAAGAGAACCTGCATTGAAAAGTGAGTGAAATATAGATTTCTATGCAAACCTTTTATTTAAACAGTACCATACCTAATAGTGTGTATTTTCTCTCCATATAGTTCAAGTCCCTTTAATTGCACTCCCCCAAAGCTACACATTTAGAGACTGTAAAAGTTTAAATATTTTGTTACCTTACTTCAAGAACAGAAAATAGGACACATTTCCACTTCAATAGAAATTTACTTTTGCCAGTTTTGTGTTCCAATTGGAAGTACTGGGTTGGGCTGATTTGAAGTGAGGCATTCATGAAAAGCTAAAAGACACAGTTTTTACCAACAAAACTATCTACTTTTATTGTCCTTATGCATGCAAGACACCTATCCACTGTTGAAATAGTTAATGCTGACTCCCTTTTTGCACTGTTCACTGTGGTAAGTAATATAAAATATTTTATACTCAAAACCAGTAGCTATGGTAAACCAACAGAAAACTGTGTATACATGTATGTAATTTTCTAAAGAAAACAGCGTAGAATTCTGCTGCCACTAAAGACAATTATCAAATTCATATTCATTTCCCTAAGAACAGAATGTAGTTTTTACTTGAAAATGTGGTTCCTCTTCAGAGGTACTCATTGTAATTTATTAGGAATATTTTTTCTTTTTTTTTTTTTTTTTTTTTTTTTATGAAGGACAAAGAAGAAAGTATAAAGTTCAGAAATAAAAGATTAAAAAGATGATGTCAGACTTTCAATTGATGAGCTGATCTGCATACTAAGGAAAGTAATTCATTTCCACGGAGTAAAAAAGGATCAGTGGGCATGAAGTTGAGGTTTACAAAGCTTAATAGAAGGAATAGTATGAATACAGATTCATTTTTGAGTGGAGTGAAACTGCCAAAAGTAATGAAGTAAGATTGTTGAGGGTAAGTAAGTACGTTGAAAAATATTTTCCTACAGAACGTTAAAACCAAAAAATTAATAGTCATTAACAAGAATTTCTGAAGTATTGTCCTTAGCTCAGATTTTCTTAATTTTCCCTAGGAAGGACGCTCCAATATTTTTTTAATTTTACTTATTTTTGAAGAGACAAAATTAAAATGAAAATTACTCATTAACAAAGAAAAGTTTTAAGTTCTTGAATACCATAGATTAAGGTTTTGCAAAGTCCAGAAGATTTGGATGGATCTCACACCCCACCTTCACTGGGGTTCTTTATAAGCAAGAGATTTAAAGGTCTTTACAATCTCTTCTAAGATCCGACTTTCATCACACTACCAAGCCTGTGAAATTTGAATCACAAGAAAAGACAAGGGATTCATAAATATTTGAGAAAACTTAGTATGGAAAAAAATTACTTTCAACACACTACACTAATAAATCAATGTTTATTTCAGCAGATTGATTTCCAGCTTATCTGGCGTCTTAAATGTTCAAGACTTGATCAATCCATACCAACATGTGTTTCATTGCAAAGATTCAAAATAATTATAAATTTGTCATGAGACTCAATTAACAAGTATAAACACAAGACAAATTTTGTCAGAAAAGTGGAAGAACATAAAGATAATTCCTGATATTGTATGTTTGAAATCTGATTAAGTTGAAGTAGATGTATATTAAAAGAAATCTGTTTGTGGGGGAGGACATGAGTTTGCACATGAGATTCTATCAGCTATACACCCGAATGAGCGACCAAGTCATGTGACTCTTTGTGAAGAGAGAGCCTGTGTAGCCACCTTTACTGGAATATTTTATGAAGTCTCTTCTGAATCTTCTCTTCTTCAGGGAGAAGAGACCTAACTTCTTTCCATATAGGCAGCTTCTCCAGTACTTTGATCATCTTCCTGGTCTTTGGCACTCTGTACATACCTTTCTTCTTTTATGGGGATCAGAACTGAGCACAGTACTTCAGGTGTGATCTGAAAAAAGATGAACCGATTAGGATGATAATCACAGAATGGCTTGGGTTGGACGAGTCTTTCAAGATCGTCTAGTTCCAACTCCCTACTTCCAATGCCTCTATCTCCACTAGAAATGCCCCTGCAGATGCAGACCAGGATCCAAATTTACCTTTTTTGCAGTGCTGACTCATGTTCAGCTTGTTTTCTGCCAGGACCTCCAGGTCCCTTTCAGTATGACTGCTCCTCAGACACAGATCTTATCCCGTACTGAGCTCTTCAGCTTATTTGGCTTATTTTGACCCAGAGGTAGGACTTTGTACTTGTCATTGTTAAACTTCATACTGAAGAAAAAGTAATTCAAGTTTTGCATTTTTTTCCACTCTATGGAGAATTAATTTATGGGGGAAAAGCAAACAAATAAATAAAAATGAACAGTGTGCCTGAAAAAAATGTGCTGTATCTCTACAACTGTTTATTTCAAAAGTATACACTAAGTTTGACAACATAAGGTTTATTTTATCAGTAGAAAAGAAAATCTCTGAAAAAGTTTTTTAATGTTTGCTCATGCTGAAATCAAAAGTTGATACTAGCTCTAATTCTCTTTTAAACTCTCTTTAATGAGTTTTTCATTTCATTCCTACAGATCAAACCATATCATCCTATGAGAAACCAGGCAGTTTAATTTTCAATATTTCTCTGAAAATACCATCTGTTTAAACTGTATATAAACATATGTATTATCATTTATTGTTTGCTTTCAGTATTAGTATTTCATTTGATGAAATCTAATCCAATCCAAGAAATGCTGAACAATGTGCACATAGTTATTCTAATTTTCTTAATTACTTATTATATTATTTCAGAACAACTCCCTTAAATTCTATAAACCCAGAACTACCATATGTCATTAGCTTATAGATCAATACCATTTATTTTCAAAATCAGACATACTGTGTTTAAATCTACATTTCTCACAAACTAAACATTTGTAGATAGAATGATGTAGTAAGAATAAATTGAATCTCAGAAATTACAATGAATAGAAAATCATGCTGAAATTTTATCTGTCATCTTTTTTCTACCGTAACAGTAGTCTTCATAGAAACTGAACCTCTTAGACCTCAAGTAGTATTTTGTGCACATTCACTGAAAAAACTTTGTGAAAATACTCTGCAGGGAGGAGGACTCCTGACAGAACAAACAGTCCTGATAATGGTTGATAATTTAAAGTTTTGTAATGTTCCCTTTTAATCTGGAAAAAATGCCTTATCTGAATGTCTGCAGTAGCAAAGAATAATGGTGTCTGTTCCCCTTTTCCAGAAATACAATTTCTGACAGTGAAGAAAAACACAATTAGTTCACTACATTACAGGTAAAAATAAATAAATAAATAAATTTAAATATCTAAACCTGGAACTTAATGAGGGAAAAATAAAAAAAACATTTTATTATGCACACATGCCATTTTCTGTGTTCTAAAACTCCTACTTCTATGTGAATTGTAATGAGTGTTCTAAATCTTGGTAAAAGGTTCCCTAGTTCCATTACTTCCTTTCATAAATTTACTTCTTTCCATGTTGGCTGTGCTATGACTTGTTAAACTGGGAATTTTGAGGTGTACTGGACAGACCCCAACCAGCAACTAAGTATCCACCAGTTGCTTGCTCTTCCCCCACAGAGGAATGGAGGAAAGATTCAGAAGAGCAAAATAACAAAACCTTGTGAGTCAGAAAAACCTCATTTTAATAACTGAAGGGAAAAAACCCAACCAATCAAACAAAAACCCAACCAACTAAACAAAAAACCCTCCACACTTCACAGCCCCTCATAAACAAGCAAGTGATGCAAAGGTAACGACTCACCACCTCCTGCAAAACAGACCAATGCTCAGACAATCTTTGAACTGATTCCTTCAGAGAAATTATACCCCAATTTTATTGCTGAGCATAATGTCATATAGTATAGAGCATCCTTTTGATCCATTTGGGTCAGCTCTCCTATCTATGTCCCCTCCCAAATTTTTGTCTGTCCCTATTCTACTTGCTCAGGGTAGAGCAGGCTGAGAAACAAAGAAGGCCTTGATACTGTGCAAGCACTAGCAATAGCTAGAACATTGTTTCAGTCACAAATCTAAAGCACAGCACCAAACAGGCTGGTATGAAGACAATTACCTCTATCCCAGCCAGAGGAAGGGAATGCAGATGATCAACTACATGGATTATATGCCCCAAAGTATTATTTACACACACATGCACACATATATGTATATATATATAAATAAATATTGAACTTCTGAGACAAAAATTGCAGAGATACACTGTCACTTGCAAATATCTTTAGACCTTGATAATGCTCTTCATGTATCAGTCCCAAAGCAGTTTATATAGCATACAAATAATAACATGTGTCCTCAACTGATGATCAAATGGACCCACAGGGACAAAGATTACTCACAGAGCTTTCTGCTTTGTACAGGAATAAAAAGAGCAAAAAATAAAAACTGATCTTCAGCTGCAAATGTGCATTCAGTCCATATGACCAAACTGAAGTTACTCTGAAATAAAACACCTTGAGATGTGTACAGTGTGATGATTATATGCACCATAATAAGATTTTTGCTCTATACATCAACTACTTTTCATCTGCGTTGATTTCAAAAGGAGCTGTAGATTATGTCACTAACAAAAGGAACACACTACAGATAATTTGACTATATTTTATACTCCTAAAATATTTTTTAGAATATTTCCCTCCCTCCCTCCCACCTTCCCTCTCTCCCTCTTTTTTCTCATGCACTTACACTTACACAAACTCATATGAACTTCACAGAGTTCCCTTCCTTGGTTTGTAGGAAAGTTTCTTTTGTTATCTGTTAGGTTTGTCTTTGATCTGTTTTCTGATGGTAGACAGATTCTGTTCTTTTGAAGGTCTTCAAAGCTGCATGGCAATCTCTTTAATTTACAGTTTTTTCCCTCTGACCCTTCAGATGTCTTTTCCCAAACATGGACATGCACGTACACATATGTGAAGATGATGGGTTGCATTTAAGGAGAAGGAAAGTTCCCCTTTCTCTGGGAGGTTATCATTGAGCTAGAATAAGCTGATCACAACAAGGCAAACACAAAGTATTTTGAATTGCTCTGCAATTCACAGTGTTTTGTTTTGTTATGCTTGGTTAACAAAATACAGTATTTATACTGTAAAGCAGAAGCTTAAAAATTAAATGATGCTTTCATCCTTCTTGAGAAGCCTCATATAAAAGACACAAAGGTCAACACAGGTGACCTTAACTTGAGCAAATTAGAGAAAGATGCATAGCACAAATGAAAACTTGTTAAATAGAAAGAAAAACAAGCCATCACTGTTCCTAAAAAACCCAGAAGGTATTTACAGTAGATTTGAGAAAACTGTAGAAGTATTTAATTAAGATCTCTCATTATATCTTTTTAACTCTTTGAAAAGACTGTTTATTCCAGCTTCTAGCAATGTTACAGTCAGTATAATTATCATCATTATCATTATCGTCATTAAACAGTATATATGTATGGCAGAAAAAAAACATTAAGACCTGATGCCTGAATTAATCATTTGTTAACTATACACTTAAAAGTCATGGTTATCTGCTAATCAGTATTTTAGTGGAATTCAATATATGAGAAAGGTCCCAAGTCATAGGATTCAGATGGTCACATGTTCATCATTTCGTAGCATTCTCTCTTTCTGACTACTCTGTCATCTCGTGGTTTCCAAAACTATTTCATATACATTAAGATTTCTGGAACTGAGGCCATCGTGCAATAGACCTTTTGGAAGTGTCAGTGCCCTGAAGGCATTGACAGGCCTGATCATCCCTGTCCCTGAGACCTCACCCCACGTTGTGAATGTCCCAGGACTGCATTGAAGTCCCCCATGGCTATCAGTCCCTTGGTGACAGCAAGAAGTGATAGCTTCTGAGTGACAACTCAGGGATCACCTCTCTTTATCTAGCCTATGTGAATTTTTTTCTGTGGAAGGAATGACTACATAAGCAAGGGGTCTCCATTTCAGAAGTGAGATGGCTCGGGCAAGTGTGGAATATGTTTTCATAATTGTCATGGAGAAGGTTGGCAGGGATGGACTGTTCACTTTGTCTTCTAGTGCAAGAGCTAGGAGTCAGATCCAAAAGAGAAGGTGGTAGTTCACAGGAAGTAGTTGTCCTGTGTAAAGCTGTGCAAGTTCTTTTCCAAACCTAATGATTCTATGCTTCTATGAAAACAATATCACAAATAGTTACAGTCCACTTGGGTTCACCTCCCCTAAATCTTGGAATATAGCTGAAGGTCGGAAGGATATTAGCAGATGTATCTTGAGGAATTGCTTTTCTCTTCATGTTCTCCATACCTTTGTATACAGCTACCCTCGAAAGCAAGATATTGAATAAGACCCACCTTTGGTCTGACCCTATATATAGACATGCTAAGGTCCTCTGCCTCCTACAATTAAACATTATACTTTTCATTAAACTGTGACAAATTTATATGCAGAGATATCTTAAACTTCAGATGTACCCTTCTTTAAAAAAAATCCCTCATTTTGGGGGGTTTGTGTTGGTTTTGTTTGCTTGTTTTGTTGTTGTTCTTTTCCAGTTTTTTTGATTTTAAATCTTAAAAATAAAACCCAAACACTAAGGAATAATTAAAAACCAGAATCAGTATGTGATTCTTATCAAGGATGCACGTCATAATGGAAAGTTCAGATCTATATGCAAACACCAGCATTAATCAGCAGTGCTGCACAGAAGGAAAGCCGTTCAAAATAATATTTCTGCTCAGTAAATAATGTTATTTTGAGTAGTTTTTATGTATATAGATGGTAACTGATAACCTCATTAATATATGTACACACTTCCAAGGGTGTTAATCCTCCTTGTTTCTGAGCATCTTCAATCCATTTTAATACATTAAAAAATAAATACACTAATAATCTCATATGGAAAATACATGTTGTACTATTGATATTTCACAAAATTTTAGTTAGTG